GGAGAAATGATGAAAGTTATACAAGTGTTCAGGTCTTTTGTTCCTAGAGTCACTATGAATCATCTACGACTCAAAAGCACTTAACAACAACAACAACACTTTAAAAGACGCATAGGTTTGGAAGGCATTTACATTTGAAAGGCAATATATTACCTTAAATTTAAAACATCTATTAAAAAAATACCCAAAAGGCTAGCAGGGTAAACTTTTGTATTATAACTAAGAGTGTCTACAAAATTCTTTCTTAATTTAATCCTTAATTCTCAAGTACAACCAAGTTATCTCTGTACAGCAAACTGACAGACAAGTACTGTCACACTTTGGGCAAGTTGCTGGAAGGGGCTATTCCTTGGAGAAAGACACGATGCTGGGTTGGGGGGGAAGGGTTGGCAAAGGAGTCAACGACCCTCAGCCAGGTGGATTGACAGGGTGACTGCCACAATGGGTTCTTGGGTGGCAGGAAGTGTGAGGATGGCACAGGATAGAACAGGGTTCAGATCTTTTGTTCATAGGGTTGCTATGACTTGTACTCAACTCAAATCCACCTAATAACAATTGTCAAATAACTAAGAATGCACTCTCATGGGATGCCCTAAAGGATGAGGTACTGATGAAATCGATCCCTAATTTGTAAGTTTTATGCAGTTCTTCTGGGGTGACTTTTTGAGAGCCCCCACCTTCTGCTGACCCCTCTGGTGCGCTGCTCTAGTGTGAGTTGTCACATGATATCGTAAGGCTGAGGAAGACACAAATGCCTTTGAGCATTCCTTACACTGGTAGGGTCTCTCTCCCGTGTGAGTTCTCATGTGTTTGGGTAAAGACGAAGGGCACTTGAAGGCTTTGCCACACTCCTTACACTCATACGGCTTCTCTCCGGCATGGATGCGGACGTGTCTCCGCAGGTAGGACAGCTGATGGAAGCCTCTGCCACACTGCGGGCACGTGTAGGCTTTCTTCCCTGTGTGCGTGGTCATGTGGGTGCGTAAAGATATGGCCCAGTAGAAGGACTTCCCACACTCCTTACAGCCATAGGGCTTCTCGCCCGAGTGCATCCTCATGTGCGCCCGCAGAGAGATGGCCCAGTTGAAAGCTTTGCCGCACTGCTGACAGGCGTAGGGCTTCGTGCCCCTGTGGATTCTCATGTGGATGGCCAGTGAGGAGGCCCACTTGAGCGTCTTCCCGCACTCCTTACAGGGATACAGCTTCTGCCCGCTGTGTGTCCGGGCGTGTCTGCGCAGGTAGAAGAGCTGGGTGAAGGCCTTCCCACACTGCCTGCACGCGTGCGGCCTCTCCTGGCTGTGGCTCCTTTCATGCCTCCGCAGGGACTGGAGGTAATAGAACGCTTTCCCACATTCCTGGCACTCATGGGCTGTTTGGCCAGCGTGCTTTGTCATGTGTTCTCGTAAAGAGATAGGCCAGCTGAAGGCTTTCCCGCAATCCTTACACTCATAGGGTTTGGCTCCCGAGTGTGTCACCAGGTGTCTGCGTAAGGAAAAGTGCCACCGGAACGTCTTCCCGCACTGGCGGCACGCGTGCTGCTTCTCCGGGTTGTGTGTGCGCTGGTGTCTCTGCAGGCACAGGGGCCAGCTAAAAGCCTTCCCGCACAGCTCACACGTGTACGCCTTCTCCCCGCAGTGCGACCGCCTGTGTGCCCGTAAGGAGACGGGCCAGGTGAAGGCCTTCCCACAGCGCTCACACCTGTACGACTTCTCTCCCACGTGTGTTTTCAGGTGTGTCTGTAAGGAGATGGGCCACTTGAAGGCCTTGCCGCACTGCTCACACTCGTAGGGCTTCTCCCGGCTGTGTGTCCTCATGTGTCGTGTGAGAGACGAAGGCCATTTGAATACTTTCCCACATTCCTGGCACTCGTTCAGTCTCCCTTTACTGTGAGTCCTTTCATGCCTTTGAAAGGAGTCTAGAAACCCGAAGGTCCTTCCACACTGCGCACACGCACGGGGCTTCTCTTTGTCATGCACTTTTTCATGCCTTCGATAGGACCGCGCGTGAATGAATGTTTTCCAGCACAGTTCGCACGAGTAAGGTCTTTCTCCACAGTGGGTCGTCGTGTGTCCCGTCAGCTCTGATGGAAAGGCAAAGCCCTCGCCACACTCTGGACTCGGATCAGGTCTGTGTCCCCTGTGGGCTGCGATGCGCCTCTCCAACGATGCAGGATGCGTGAAGACCTGTCCGCACACAGTGTCTTCTTGTGGATTTCCTCCAGCGGCCCTTCTCTTGGACACATTCCGATCTGGATTCCGGTTGAATGTTGTTCCCATTTGACGGCTGCCATCACTTGCACAGAGTCTCACATCCATGTGGGCACTGCTAACAGAGAAGCGTGTTAATAACGCACCAATGAGGAACATATTATTAACAGATTAGTATTTGTTAGTAAGAAACACCTGGCATTATTGAAAGGTCAATAGTTTGCTCCCACCGACAGCTCTGAAGGAGGAAAAGATTTTCCACTTTGTTGTCTTTTCTCAAGATTTACAAGCATGAAACCCCAACAGAATCAGAATGGACTTGATGGCAAAAGGTTTGGTGTTTTGGTAATGAGATTCCATTTTACCCATTTTCATTGATCTTCCTTATTTTCTACTCCTTTTCAAATTGTTTGAAAACGGAGTAAATGCAATGCTCTGAAAGAGGACTCCATCTGTGGTTCACGGGTGTCTGTGATCGCGGGTCGCAGAAGACAGAGACTGAGGAGGGAAGATAAACGAAGGACCAAGGGCTTTATTAGGCAAAAGGCCAAATAGAGCTGTCCTGTCCTCTCTTTTATTACAGAAGTGGACACAGCACACTCAAAGAAAGTCACGTACACTTTTCTCAGGGTAAAAAAAAGGAAGAAACATCCTACCAAATCAAATTATCCCTGATTCGTCAAGGCTCTGTGTTCTTTCTCTTTATCTCAAGAAGGCAAAGGGGTATGTAAATCTGATTCCAGGGTGAGGTTGTTTGTAACCCCAAGTTTGTTAGCAAGAACTCCTCTGATGCACTTAACCCTTTAGGGGTCAGAGACTCAGAAGAACGCTGACAAGGAATACCTCTGAGAACTGGATCTAGGTTGTTTTCAAACCGGATCCCCTTCAAGGGTCTCAGATGTTCCTGGAACATGTCCTAGTCCAGCAGATCTCTTATTGCCACTAAACCCTTCAGGGATCCTTCTATGTCAGACATTATTAAAACAGTGTTTCTGATAAACATGGAGATTTTGATCATCGTTTCCAGTCGACAGATACACGTTTCAAACAACGTCTAAACAAAGATGGAGCTGGGCATTACCTCGTTTATTGCTCCTTTGCATTTTTTTTTTGTTTTAGAGCTTGTGAAACAGAATCCGGAGGCACCATGACCTCTTGGGTGTGTTACTTACCTTGGAAGTATCCCCTGGTTTTTATGCTCATCTTTATTGTTAAGGCCTTCCCAAAGTTTTCCTAAAACAGAGGTCCAAGAGCAATTTCTTCTAAATTTTCGTGCTTTCTCTTTTTTGGATACTTTTTGCTCCTGAGTTTCTGGTTGAAAAACTGGTTCATTGCCTGGAAATGGAGTCTTATCATCTGGAAGCAAAAAAATGAACAAATCTTATGTGAAAGAAGGCTCCTTCCTGTGTGTGTGGGTGAAAAAAAAAATTAAAAACCAACCACCAAAATGCTCCAAAACCAAGAGACTCCACAGGCCTAATGAGCTGATGGTGCGCACTGTCTAAACACGAGCGCAGGGGAGATGCCATCCTCACCGGTGACGCCACCTCACCTACGGACTCCAGGTTCCTGACAGTCTCCAGCATCACATCCCTGTAGAGCGTCCTCTGAGCCGGATCCAGCAAAGCCCACTCCTCCCGTGTGAAGTCCACAGCCACGTCCTCGAAGACCACCGTCTCCTAAAACACACCAGTTATGGGTGAAGCAGACAGCACGGGGACTGGAGTCAACGCACAAGAAGCTGAAACAGGATTCTGGGATCTTCACAGTACGCTCCTTTCTGGGAACAAATACGGTATGTTGTCAGATCAGTGTGTGCTTCTGTGCACTAACCCACGAGTTAGGGATTTCTGGCGCTTCAAATGCACAGCAGCTTCCTGACAGAAAGATGGGCCACCCTCTCCTGTGTGGTGTACAGCCTTGGAAACCCAATAGTAGGTCAGGTACGACTCAGTCCCACTGATGACCAGCAGAGTTGAAACCAGAGATTAAACAGCACCACTTACTTACAGAGCATCTCTCTACACTGTCACTGTGAAGACTTCACGTCTTAGCTTAGTTTATCATTAGAATTCAAGGTTCAAGGGAGTAATTAAACACGGGACTAACGAAGCAACTCTTCTCCTTTTAAGGTCATCAGTGCCTTGTGAAGAAACCATCCCAGTGGACTTTCAAGGTCTCACTACATCACTCAGGACTACCTGAAGTGCAACATCAAAGCAGGTGAGCTGTGGTGCGGCTGCAATAATACATGGATGGGGAACAGCCCGTAGTTCAAACTAGATCCAGAAGAGGCCATGGAAGAAAGGGTGTCACTGCTGATGTCAGAGCTTAGCTGATAGCAAAGAATACCAGAGGGGCGTTTGTTGCTGTGTTGTGTACCGTCATGTTGGAATCAACTCTTCGCTGACCCTGCAGGGGGGGTTTTCATGGGCAGTCAATCACATGGGACGAGACAGCTCACTTTCTTCTGTGGAGCAGCTGGTGGGTCCAAGCCACTTTTGAGTTGGCAGGGCAACTCCTTCCCACTACGCCACAGAGCCCCCGAGGAAGATGTCTTTTGTGTGCTGCTGAGTCGCCTGTGACTCATAGCGACCCTGTGTGCTAGAGCTCTTAACCCTGTCCTGTCCAGACCTAATCTCACTTGTGTTTTATTGACTATGCAAAGGCATTTGAATGTGTGGATCACAAGACATTATGGATAACCTTGAGAAGAATGGGAATGCAACACTTAATTGGACTCATGCAAAACCCATACAAAGACTAAGAAGCAGTGTCTGAACAGAACAACAGGGACCTGCATGGTTTAAAATCAGGAAAGGTATACACCAGGGTTGTATCCTCTCACCATAACTATTCAATTTGTATGTTGAGCAAATCAATCATTAAGCTGGACTATATGAAGAAGGATGTGGTAACAGGATAAGAGGACAACTCATCAACAATCTGTGTTACAGAGATGACACAACCCTGCTTACTCACATTGAGGAGGACTTAAAGTACATACTACAGAAGATCAAAGAATGCAGCTTTTGGTATGGATTGCATCTCAAGGTCAAGAAAACAGATTCTTTACCACTGGACTGATCGGCAACATCATGATGGGTGGAGATTGAAGCTGTCAACAACTTAATCTTGCTTGGATCCACAATTAACACTCTTAATACCAGCAGTCAAGAAATAAGGAGACGCACCGTACTGAGAAAATCTGTAGTTAGGGACCTCTCCAAATTACTGAGGAGTAATGATGTCAATTTGAAGACTTTAAGGTGTGTCTGATTCAGGCCACAGTCCTTCTGATCACTTGCTATATTGAGAGCTGTATAGTGAATAAAGATGACAGAAAAACTGACAACGCTTTTGGGCTATGGCCTTGGAGGAAAGCACTGAGAACAAACAGATGTCTTGGAGAGAGTGACCCCAAAGTGATCTTTGGAGGCAAATTTGATGAGGTTTTGCCTCACACACTTTGGGCATGTTCTAGGAGGGGCTATTCCTTGGAGAAGGACATCATGGTAGGAAGCGTGGAGGGTCGGTGAAGGAAAGAAAGACCCTCAACCAGGTGGACTGATGCAGTGACTGTCGCAGTGGGCTCTAGTGTGTCAGAAGTGTGAGGATGGCGCAGGATAGAACAGGGTTCAGATCTTTTGTTCATAGGGTCACTATGATTTGTACTTGACTCGGCGGCACCTAACACCAACAACATGCCTGATGCAAGTCGTATTTTCCGCTGCTCTGTATACATGGACGTTGGATAATGAATAAGGCAGACAAAAAAAGAAATGTAATGCCTTTGAATTTGATGTCAGAGAAGGGTACGGAATATCCCATGGATGCCAAAAGAACCAACCGATCTGTCTTGGAGGGAGTGAAACCACAGTGCTCCTTAGAGGCAAGGATGGTGAAACTTGATCTCACATACTTCGGGCATACTGTCAAGAGAGGTCAGTCCTTGGAAAAAGGCATGCTGTTGGGACATGTGGAGGGTCAGGGAAGGAGAGGCCGACCTCAGTGAGACGGACGGATGATAATGATGGGCTTGGCCATCATGGGGATGGTGGAGACCGTGCAGCACAGGGCAAGGCTCAGAGCTGAGGCTCAGAGGGCTGCTGGACCCCACAGCCGAGTCTACGGCACCAACGACATCTAGAGTGAACACACCGGTGGACGTGCCAAGTGATGAGAAGCAGGAGCATGAAACTTCACCTGTAAGTGTAAGAATCTGACAGAGGATGTCTCTACATCTGAATACACATGGAATAAACCCGTCAGACATACGGTTTAGCATACACGGAGCAAAGCTGCTAACTTCTTAGCCTTGCCTAAGTCTTTATAGAGAACGAGTTGTTGGATTAGGGAGCGATAGACCACAGTATCTGAGGACATGAAGGTCAATTGTTTTAAAGAGTACACAAGAATAGAAAAAGTCTACATCCTACTGGAGGGAGTGACAACCAGGGTCTTCAAAGCTTCTGAGCAGCTCTCTGAGGTACAACTACCAGTTTTTGTCCAAAGAAAAAAGGAATGAAGGAAAGCAAAGATGCTCAGGGAGCATTTGTTTACAAGGCTAATGGACCGGCGAGCTCTGGTGGCCTAGTGGCAAGAAGCTGCACTGCAATCCAAGAGGTGCACAGTTCGAATCCACCAGATGCTCTGCTGGAAAAGGAGGAACAATCTCTTCCTGTACCAGTCAGACCTGATTTGACGGTACACACACACACACAAAAAAAAAAATTAAAAAAATATATTAAAAAACAACAACAACACAAGGCTAATGGACCACGTGAGCCACTGCCTCCTTAACCCGGAGACCAGAAGCCCTAGACGGGGCTGGAGGCCTCTGTTAGCCTCACAGAGAGGGTCCCAGCAGCAGGCAGTGCACAGAGTAAGAGACAACTTGTTTTTAAGTGCCATCGAATTGTAGACGACTCACAG